TATATATATATATATATATATATATATATATATATCTTTTTTTCAAATCTACTTATAAAGGGCAAAAAAGAAAGGGAGAATTGCAGGCAAAGTACCAAAATTTTCATCTAGTAGCGGTCTTGACTCGAATCTTTTATTTGTGCTGTCGTAAGTACCAAACATTTAAAAAATTTGCAGTTCAAGTCCAAAATGACAGTTTACATCAGTTTGACCCAAAAACAGTCAGTTGTAGGAGTGGCCACGGTCTGGTTTGGTCCGATTCCAAAGGGAACCAAACCAAACCAAATACCAATGAGAATTTTAGAAGTGAACTCATTGGTTCCATAGTTAGCTATGGAATTGAACTAATCGGTTTGAATTTGGTCCGGTCTGGTTCTTTACGTTGAAAATGTCAAAATAAAATATTCACTAATAAAAAATTCAAAGATGCTACCAACGCGATACTTTTAACAAAATATAGAAAAATCGAACATATTATTCAAAAATTAAAAGAAAACTATACAAATTTAAAAACAATATTCAAATAATATAAATTACTATCATCAAGCAATCATTAATCTATATAAACCGCATAGTACTCGAATGATTAAACAAGCTTCCATCAAAATCAAAATCCTACATTGAATTGGACACCCTTTAAAAATTTATTGCAACTTCTGGTTCTATCAGTTATAATTTGTAGAAATCTAGATGAAAAATTTCGATTGGATCAAAACCATGTAATCAAAGTGAAAATAAAATAAAAATTTCGCATCCTAGAAATAAAATTATATATTGTAAATAAATTTATTCAGGTGTAGATTTACCCAATATTCTAATTTGGTTTGAGAATCAATTAATCAAAGAATAATAAGAAGAGAGAATGAAATAATCTACAAGAAGAAGTACAATGCTGGAGTCTAAAATGAAGAAGGAACTCGATTATTTTTTATAAAAGTGATTGGAGATTGAGTCATATATTTTACCAAAAAATAAAAAAATCCTATGAGAATTGTTTTAGATGGTTCCCATACTAGAACCAGGAACTGATCAATTTTTAATAATTTGTACCAAAATCAAATTGGTTTTTAGAAGATCCAGAATCGAACTGACTGATTCTAAACAGTTCCGGTCCGATTCAACCAGTTTTGAAAAAGAATGCCCACTCCTAGTCAGTTGACCCTAGAAATTAAAAACTTAATAATTTTTTCCAGATAAGGCAAGGGCATCTTGGATATATAGCCCCTATTTGATTGTTATTAAAATCAGATTTTTAATAGATTTTGATGAATATTGATGAAATGTGTAGTTAAAAAACTGTAGAATCCATAAAATAAGTGATTAAAATTAATTATTAATTTTGATTTAGATTAAAATCTAATTTTTAATTGATACCACACTGAGTGCATAACACATTTTCCCTATTAAATAAAAAATTGAAAAACAAAAATCGAAACCATAAACTTCCTCCCACCACATCCATCTCCTTTTCTTATCCAAAACTAAAACACTCCACCTAGCTGCTAGCTCTCATCGTCAACACCATCGCCTCAATGTCGACCCCAAAATCAGTCTCTCTAGAAACTCCTGTCAATTAAGAGGTGACAATGAAAGATTAAGCTGCACAATCAAAATTTCTTGCGGAAGCTCCTTTAGGTGCCATTTTGTCTCTACTTAGAGGATGTTTGGTAGAGATTAAAATTAGATTTTTTTTGTAAATCGTGATAGAAGTTTTGAATTGTGTGGTTGAAAATTTGTGGGACTCATAAAAAATGTAGATAATATTGATTGTTTGACTTTAACTTAGATTAAAATAAGATTTTAATCAAAACCAAACATGGGCTTAGGTTTAAGTATGTCATTGACCCACCTCATTTCGAGCATCCCAAGGCAATTGCTGCTAGATTTGGAGAACTTTTGTTGCCAATGAAAGGGAATCAAAACATGAAAGTTGAGAATGTTGGTCATTCCATCAGAATCCAAAAATTACACGAATGAAAATTATTTTTAGTTTGCTAATTTAGGCAATCGTAGTGAACAGAACATAAAAGCTTTTAGATACCATAGGATTTGTGGTGGCTTTTCTGCATTAATGGCTCTTCTCAAAGGCATCAATGGTCGGAGAATCCAGTGGTGGGTGTCCAAGAGAGTCACCCGTGCCGACAAACACTCTTTGTAATCTTTCATGTAAGACATCTGGACTGTCTTTCTCCGTGTAGTTGGATATTTGGGTATACATGAATATAAAAATTGATTTTAACAAAAGTAAAATGAGTTTTTTCGTGTGCGAGGGAGCTCCCGATTTTAATGTGGTGCCTAGTTTTGAGTTGGCATTGGGATCGACATTGAAATGATGGGGGTGCGTGGGGTGGTATTGATATTGGGGTAAGGGAGTTGGGGGGTGCGGGGTTGTGGTTTTTTATGTTTTTTAAATTTTTTATTTAATAGAGAAAATTTCCTTGCATTATTTGGAAGGAATTATTAAATTTTAATTCTTGGGTTCAATTGACGGTTTTTGGAGTCAAAATGATGGAAACTATCATTTTGGATTTCAGCTGCAAATTTTTTAAAGGTATGATATCACGATGATATAAATGAAAGGTTTAAGTCAAATTTACTACTAAATGAAAGGTTTGAGTTAAATTTACTATTAAATCGAAGGTTTGATACCTTGGCTGCAATTCTCCAAAAAATAAAAGAAACCTTTGATTTGGGTGCGTGGTAACTCGTCCATAAGTACAATTTTACCCCTACCTTTTGAGGTTTTTCCCTCTCACATAGATATTCTACTGTGCTTCTCTCTCTGCCAAACTCTCTCGTCAGCGACCGCCTTAATCTCTCCCTGTAAGAAAAATACAATTTTCTCTTTAGCTCTTCATTGTGATCGGTTTCTGTAGAAGACAGAAAGAGGGAATCGGGGGAAACTCGAAAGTGACGCCGTTGTGGGGAATTCAATTTAGGGTTTTTTTCTTTTCTTTTCTTTTTCTTTTTTTTTTGGAAGAAAAGAAAATTGGAGAACGAAAGCCATGGCTCCAGGCCGGAAGCGTGGAGCAAAAGGCATGGGGACAAAGAGCGAGTTGAGTTTGGGCGATCTCGTCCTTGCCAAGGTCAAGGGTTACCCTCCTTGGCCTGCCAAGGTATCATTGGGTCGTTCCATCACATTGCTTTGTTATTTCCTTAAACATATATGTTATGCCAGGGATTGTGCAATTTCCCTATTTAGCCGTGCCTCTGTTTAATTTGTAATATTCAATTATTAATATTTGAATAATTGCCCTGCAGAATTTTAGGAAAATCTATAATCAAGACACGAATGTAAATTCTTTTACTATATAGGAGGTATCTGCAGTGCTGCTGAATCATTGAGAAAATGGTTGTCTATTTGGTGTTTCTTTTTGTAGTCTTAACAATACATAATCTATCTGAATGTGGGGTTTGATTTAGCTTCATGTGTTACTTTTTACTTGGATTTAGTATTCTTTTGAGTTGTAGTACGTTGCTCAATTAATTGGAAGTAAATTATTTTTTTTCTTTGGTTCTTTTATTTTCTCTTGTCCTGTTTGAGTCATTTAAAAAATAAGGGTTAGATGGAAAATCTGTGCATCAGATTAAATCTAGAATGAGTTAGGAATGTCGGGGACACTGCATGCACGTGTATGTGGAGTGTATTGTGTCTTTTACGTGGGGATATTTCTAAATCCTCTCTATTCAAGGTTGCTTTCAGTTATTACATGTAAAAGTTTCTTTCAAGTATTGGTTTTGGGTAATGGTGAGGGCTTGTAACTCTCCTCTTGCTAACATCATAATGACACACCATTCGAGACCCCTCTCTAGTTTTGACTGTCAAACATGAGTTGAGAGCTGATCATGACTGTTAGCATTTCAATTGTCGTCACTTCTAATAAGTTTTTTGTGCTTACACATCTGTTCAATAATCAGATTTGTCGAACTGGTATTTTGTCATGTTTTTGTTTTGTATGGGGCTATGTTGAATTACCACGTAGTTTCTAATAGGGGATTTGAACTTTTTGCTAGTTACGTAACTTTTCTTGTCTTATTTGTGGATTTAAAATTTACAGATTAGCAGACCTGAAGACTGGGAGAGAGCTCCTGACCCCAAGAAAATTTTCGTTGAATTCTTTGGTACAGAAGAAATGTAAGCACGCTATGTTAAGTCTTCTTTTGTGCTTGTACACATGCTGAAATGACTTGATTGGTAATGTGGAGGTTGGTGCATTTAGTCATTTTCTTTTACTGGCTGACGAGGAAAAAAAATTAAATATTTGTTGAAGAAAACACAGTTGTCTCTCCATGTGTTTCTTATTTTAGGAATGTGGACTTCCACTTTGCAGTTTTACAATTACGTTCCCTAGTACCAGGAGAACTAATAGTGGTGTACAACAGCATAAGTTCATTAAGAGGGAAAGTCTAATCCTTTACTGATAGGCTCCTTCTCATGACATCATGGACCATTCAATAGTTTACTGCTACTAGAACTGTAAACTTCATTTAGCTAATTTGATCTTTGTTGAAAACTTATTGATTTTAGCTAGGAAAAGCTGGGCAGTGTTTTGTGGATAACTTTGGTTTTGGCTATTTTGGGTAGTTTGGATGGAAGAGAACTCTAGAATTTTTAAAGAAAAAGAAAACCGTTTGGCAATTAATGGGAGAACAAAGTTTTTGGCCGCTTAACGGGCTTCACCGTGATTGTTCTCCTTTATTCTTAGTTGTCCTGGGTTGGAAATATGTTATGTATCTTCTATTTTATTTTCAAAATTGATTTCTTATATTTTAAAATGACCCCTTTCTTATATTTCAAGATGACCCCTTCGTCTCTTGATGTGTCTTTATATCATGATTAAAATATATGTTTTTTAAGAAAAAATTATGTGAATTTTCAGTCTGCTGCGGGATTTAGTTCTCTTTTTTTTGGGCGTCCCACTGCACCTTTTTTGGATGAAATTTGTGAGAGCCACATTCCAAATTATGCAGAATTAAATGTGTTGCTATTTTATCTCTGGATATATAAGAAGATATATCTGTATATTCATTTGGATATTGAGGGATTTCTTTTAAGCAGTTGTGGTAAACATGTTGCTGTGAATTGTGGCGCACCAATTTTCACAATCTGTACTACATAAAGTCTTGTGAGGTTCTCCTGCAGTTAATTCTTGTTGTTCTTGATGATGACAACGGCATGGTTACAAAGATACCGTTATTTGAGGCTACTATTATTGAAGTGATTAGGTTAAATAATTGGGTGACTGGTTTGATTGGTGAATGCAAGAGAAATAGAGAAAAATATAGTACCTTCAATGATGACACTGATTGCTTTATGTTTTTGGCATGATCAATTAATGTCTTTGAACTATTGCACCGTCGAATGTTTATTCCACTTTTGATAGTCAGGGGTCAGTTTTTATATGGAAAATGTGCTTTGTGTGATGGAAATAGGCAGCATTAAGCGTAATGTATATGATTCTGTGTAGAGAGGCAGGGTGATTTTGGGGGTGATTGTGGATATGATTCTACTAAGGAAAAGGATAGAATGATGGTTTACAAGAAAAGAAACGAAAAGAAAGAAGATAAGTGGTTTCCTTAGGGTGTTGGAGAGTGCCTAGAACACTACATACGAAGTCCAAGATACTTATGTGGTCTACAATAGGTTGTTCAAAAAATGACATCTGGGCAAAGGATCAAGCCACAACAAGTCTAAAATTAAGAACATGAAGAAAACCAAGCGTACTGCTTGGAATTCATAGGCTTGACATTCAGCATTGAATGGTATCTGGTGTCCCACAATCAGAAGAAATATCATTTAATTCTGCTGAATTATACAAAATAGTAATATCCACCTTCATAAACTGGAAGCCATACAATAATTAATCAAGATCCAAGAATTCCCTATATTAATGTGACTATTCTGGAAACTGCAGGAATCATCTTCCAGATTAGCCCGATTTACTTGACATAAACTGCAGATATGGCTTAACTCTCAAATAACACATCACAGAGATTTTAAAAATACAGATTTTCTAAAATTATAAATGTACCTGTTAAACTGTAAACATATTTTTCCTAAAAAGTGATAAATACTGATGAAGCAACGCTGCAAACTACCGTCAAGGTTCTTGCCATTCCAAGGATCCAAGAATTCCTCCTTTGTATTAGTGCTTCCTCGAGCCTTTTACATTGTGCACCAAGACGACTTAATTAAAGGAAAAATAAGTATACATCGATTTTGGAGACAATTGCGGCTTTGACAAGTACATTCAGTAGATAGCATATCATTCTCTATTGACAGCTCATGTAGAATTATCTCTAGTAAGTACATGACAAACTGGTTGATTTAATGTCTTGGTCAATTAAGACTTGATTGAGATTTTCCGGGGGTATAGGACAGGGTGAACCTTTCTTTCCCTTTTTCTTCTCTTTGGTTGAAGTTTTGCACAGAATGTTCTATAGCTGAAATTCCATTCTTGTTGAATAATTATTAGTTGCTTCTATTGTTTTTGGTCATTGAGAACATCCTATCCTCCTTTTTATTTCTGTTGTTAAATTTCTCTTTTGCTATTCGAAAAAGAAATTTTCCTTTGAAGCAAGGTTTTTTCTTCTTTGGGGTATCTTGTACACATCATACATGCACGTGTGAAAGAAGCATCTATTAGTGGCTATGCATATGGGATGTAATCTGAAAAGTCTGTTCAGTTTCTCTTATATCGTGTTGGTTGCAAATTTGAGAATGAGTTTCCTAGTTTTTGTGTGGGCCTTTATCTTATTGCAATTAGCCCTTGCGGTGGTGCTGTGTTCAAATATGTGGTTCAATCAATGGGAATTACATTTTTAGTCATTTTGTGCTTTATAGGAATCCTTCGGATGCATCAGCGATTTATGTCCTGTTCTGTGTGTTCCCTGAATTATTGATCCTGCTCTTGCAATATCCTTTTAAATGGGTGTATCTACTTGGTATATCCTTGCAATTACTTTTAGATGAAGCATATGTGCAATCTTTATAGTTTACATCTATTAGGGTGCATTTGATTGTCAATATTTTTCATGAAAAATGTGTTTTTCACTCAAATTCCTACTTTTGTGTTGTTTGATCGACATTTTTCTGTAGAAAATATTTTCCTACTTTTGGTCACGCGACCATTTTCTCTCAAAATCAAGGAAAATATTTTCCATAGGAAGAGTAGGATTTTATTTTTCAGGGAATTCTCCCTCCCTCTCTCTCTCATTTATCCACTTTATTTCATCTACCCACCAATAAAAATTGGATAAGTATAATATCTTCTAAGTTAAAAATTAAATCAATCAAACACATTTAATTGGAAATTTCCATGTATATAAGTTCTAGGCAATTGAATTACCTAGAATTTATTTTCTTTCCATGCATATTCCATGCTTGCAATCAAACGCACCCTTAGTGTATACTACTAATAGTATTTTTGACTCTTAGATTTCACCTTCCTCAGCAATAACTAATATCAGCAGGTGATGTTGAGATGGTCCCTGCTGAGATGGTCTGTTCTTCGTGGATTATTCTATCTACTGCAGAGGGTTGCCATTTGTTATAGGCTGATATATAATTGCTTTTCTAAGTTGGGAATAATTAAGACCTTTAGAAATATTCCTGGTTTGATGAGCAAATGTTGGATAAAGTTCTTCCCTCTCTTGATTGTGCAAGCACCCTTTTAATCTTTGTTTCCTTCTTATATTCTTAAATATAGTTGTATGCTTTAAATACAGGGGTTATTTTCAATTTTCTTTCCTTTTCGACAGAGGCTTTGTCGCTCCTGCTGATATTCAGGCATTCACCAGTGAGGTAAAAGATAAATTGTGTGCTCGACCCCAACCTAAGACAGTTAAGTACTTTGCCAAAGCTGTGAAGGAAATCTGCGAAGAGTTTGAAGCGATACAGTGCAAAAGTTCAAGTAGTGTAGGAGATGATATGGATAAACAGGATCTTGAGTGTGAAGCACCTTCAGTTGATCAAGTGGAATCAGAGGCTAATCTAAAAGATGAGGCTAACAGGGAAGGACCAAATTACAAGACAAAGATTGAAGGAGTTGGTGACCAAGGCTCTAGGTTAGAGCATTCCTCACATAGACTTAGCGAGACCGACTGTCAAGATACAAAGACCTCCATCTCGAATGATGTAAATCCTAGTTCGTCTCTGTTTATATATTCGAAAAAGAGGCATAAACTTTCGACGTATGGGACTGATTTGTCGAAGGAGTCAATGTCAGCAACCAATCTGTGTAGGCATTCCTTTCTTAAGGAGGAAGGGTCTTGTGATAACAAAATTGAGCAGAGACATTCTGATGGGAAGGAGAGCGAATTCACAAATGGCCACAAATCAGATCTGGCAATTGGGTCAAAGAGGAAATCTGACGGCGTGAATGTTATGCACAAAAATATTGGCCAAGCTGTTTCAGTTGCATCAGCATGTGATAACTTGGGTCTTCACATTAATATTTCTCGTGAGCAATCTGGAGATGGGTTGGTAAGGAAAATTAATTCTGATGGCAACACAAATGATTCATCTGTGGATATTTCTAGGTCAAGCTTAGATGTTGGTAGAAGGAAAGAACAAAAATCACTGAAAGAGAGAAAACATTCTGGTTCAGCAGATGATTGTCCAAGGGACATAGAAGTCAATTTTAAGGAGTGGAACAAAGATGATATATCTGGAGAAAAAATTAGTGCTAGGCCTGGTAAACAAAGTTTTCATAGGAATGTAGTTTCATGTTCTGCTAAAAGGTCAAAATTTGCAGATATTGAGGGTGATGCCACCAAGGGGAAAACCAAAACAAACAGAAAAAGTGATTCTCAAAGTACTAATGCTCTTGATGACATCATAAGTATTACAGAGCCTAAACGGTTAACATCAGGAGGGGATGCGGAGAACTGCGAGCCTTTCAGATTTCAGAAAAGCATGAAAGATTATAATTCTTCTGGCAATGAAGATGATCTCCCCCCAACAAAGCGCCGTCATGGGGCATTGGAGGCCACGGGTCATTCTGCTTTAGTTTCCGAAAATAGATTGGGAAATTCTTCTGCTCTTAAAAAGGGCCTTTCTGATAAACGATCCCCAGCTGTACAGTTGCTGGTAAAGCGGAAAGCTGTTCGCTTGTGGGATGATGATTATGATGAAGAGCCCAAAACTCCAATTCATGGAGGATGTGTCGCTAAGGTTTCTCTTCTTCCACGTGTGTTGGACTCTACAAAAAAAATTGACATGCATGGTGAGAGTTCTCTCCATGATCAGCAAGAGTGGAATGGTTCAGGCAGAGTTGAGGATGGGTCTAAGGGACTGGTATCATATGCCATGCCCCACAAAGCTTCATCACCAACTGTTCAGCAACGCATGGAGAAGAGAGCTAGAGAAATAGGTGCTGCGCACGTATGTTCTAGCCCTGCTCAAGTAGACTTCACGAATATATCCCCTATGGAGACTAGACCAGTAGTCTTTTCACCTAAAAGGTCCCTGCGGTCGGTCATGAGTGGCAAACCATCAGGCGAACTGCAAAACAGGCACTCTGGCAAGACACCCGTTAATATAACTCATAAGAAAGCTCCATCTGGGTCCAATATTGGCCCCACTTCAGTTTCTGATAGGTTAAATTCATCTCTTAATCAAACAACAAATGAAAGAAGCAAGTCAGCTTACTCAGGGGAGAGAATGAAAACAACTCCAAAATCAGATTCAGAAATCAATGATTCTGTTCTTGTAGTGGGAAATCGAACTGAAAGTATTGTATTCTTGGGTGAAAGGTATCTCGGAAACTCTTTTCATCATAATTGTGGTAATCATTTCTTTATTCTTTATGCTCACATTTTATTATGCCATTTTCAGGGTGGTTATTGGTGGAGATGTCAAGACGAGTTCCTCTATTGACCCAAAAATTTCAGACCCTGTTATGTCTATGAAACATCTTATTGCTGCTGCTCAGGCAAAGAAGAGACAAGCTCATATTCAAAACTCTCATGGGACTCCTCTTTTGCTTTCTGATGCTGACATACCACGAAGGAGTTCGAGCCCAAATCCTGCATCACAGGGAACAAAAGCCAGCAACATGCCGCAACTGGATATAGAAGGATTGCCTTCTTGCTCTTCTTTAACATCTCCTTCCTCTGATTTTCGCCAATTTTCATCAGATAATCAACATGAGACCGAAGAATTTGAGGAGCGGAGAGTTAGTTCGGGTCATTGGGTTATTGGGGGTTCCCTAAGTGGGGGTACTGAGGCAGCTGTTGCTCGTGACTCATTTGAAGGAATGATAGAGACGCTGTCAAGGACCAAAGAGAGCATTGGGCGAGCAACTCGTCTTGCAATTGACTGTGCAAAGTATGGGATTGCCAATGAGGTGAGTTATCAACATGTGGAACTTTCTAGCTGTTGCAGTTGACTGTGTTAACAACTCTTCTTGCAGCTATTCTCTTGTTTGTGTGTTTTCTGTATGGAATGCATTTTCTTGCGACAATTCAACTATATTTCAGTGCATTGTTTCATGCAGGTTGTGGAACTTCTCACTCAGAAGTTGGAAAACGAGCTCAGCTTTCATCGCAGAGTGGACCTGTTTTTCCTAGTTGATTCGATAACCCAATGCTCTCATGGTCAGAAAGGTAGGNTATTACTTTGTTTCTGTGTACTCTTGAAATTACATTACATTCACCGACTGTTTCAGTGGATGTTTTTGTACCTGATGTTGAGCATGTTTCAGTGGGCTACAGTAAACTTATAAGCCTATCCAAACATGCTATGCTAGTTGTCCTCTGAGTATGATATTGTCTAAGTTCTTTCTCCCCTTCTTCCTTTACTCCAGATCACCCATACTTCCTTCTTTGGTTGGAGATTTGTTTATAATTCTTTCCTCGTTCTTGAAATTGCATTCACCAACAGTTTCATTGAATGGTCAATGTCTTAGTTTCCGACTTTTTTCTTTTCTTCTGACAACACTTCTTTGGGTGGAGATTTGATTTTAATTTTCTTGGTTGTTTTGTTCCTTCAGGAATTGCAGGGGCTTCATATATTCCTGCAGTTCAAGCAGCATTATCCCGTCTCATAGGAGCTGCTGCTCCCCCTGGGGCAAGTGCTCATGAGAATCGTCGTCAATGTCTTAAGGTGACTAAAGTTCATATCTGAAAGTGAGCCTTTCAGCTCTGTGCAGAATGATTTGAGTTACAATCTTTCCTTAGGTCTTGCGATTATGGCTTGAGAGGAAAATCATGCCGGAGTCTGTTCTTCGTCGCTATATGAATGATATTGGTGCAGTGAATGATGATGCTTCCGCTGGATTTTCCTTTAGGCGTCCTTCCCGAGCTGAGCGAGCTATAGACGACCCTATTAGAGAAATGGAAGGCATACTTGTGGATGAATATGGCAGGTATCGAAATTTGCTCCTCCTACAATAATACTTTCTAGGAAAAGAAGGTGGTGTTGGCACATCATTGTTTTGCCTTGCAACATTCCTTAATCTACAGCTAAATAACACTCATTAGAGCTGGTGAACTTCTAGCTTGCTAGCATGCTCGAGTTTTTAATCTTAATCCTATGATAAGACACTGCTTTCTGTTACATGCTCAGTTTTCCAAATTACACTGATACACACTAAAGGAGTTCTTGAGCCTTTTTCGTATTTTTAAATATTTTGACTGCCATATTTTGGGTGAATCGCGGTAGTTGTTTTATCTGTCAACAGATACTTTTTTGTTCAGACATGGATAAGGTATTAAACTGATCTAGAGTCCTATTGACTTGGGGTTAATTTCCACTACCAAACCAGATAACAAGGAGTTCAAATTGAATAACTAAAGTGTCCGCCGTACGTTTGTGCCCTTCATTCTGATTGCCATTGGCAATTACTCGTTTTACTTTGATTTTCATATTATGGTAATGGCATTGGCACAGTGTGCACAATCTCTTGTACTTTCTTTATTTAGGAGGTTGTTTTCCTGGAAACCTGATGATATGGAGTTCTGTCTTTAGCCAAACATTGTGCTATTATCCCTGCCCGTCTCTATTCTTTATCATCTTGCTCATGACTTTTATCATGTATCTGTTCTGTCATGTAATTGTGTTTATTTATTGGAGTATCGAGTGTACGTGTCCTCTCTTGTAGGGTGGGTGTCTGTTCTGTGAGGGGTACTTGGATATGCACATGCAGTATTATCTGTCTTTGCCTGGTTTTGTAAATTGATATGTTAGTTTCTGTATTCACTTTCAGCTTTATAACTTATGTTGTTTTTTCAGCAACACATCGTTTAAACTACATGGCCTTTTGTCATATCACACATTTGTAGAAGAGGAAGAGGAAGATCAGGATAATATCCAGGCTCATTTGTGCAAGGAAGTTGCAGATAGGTCACCATCAGAAGGTATGCCTATCATTGGAGATCCTGAAAATTGTGCAGTTACTCCAAGTGACAGGCATCACTTCATTTTAGAAGATGTCGATGGCGAGCTTGAAATGGAGGATGTGTCTGAACACCAAAAAGATGAAAAACCACTTTCTACCAATGGGGCTTTTGAGACTGATAAAATTCAGCCAGATGCAGATATGATTTTGGTGTCAGCTTCAATCAATTCTTTTGAGTTGTTGCCTCTACCTGAGGGTTCGCCACCTTTGCCCATTGATTCTCCGCCTGCAACTCCACCTTTACCAACTTCACCACTTCCATCACCACCTCCGCCGCCACCTTCATCATCTCCATTGCCACCGCCGCCGCCGCCGCTTCCTTCATCACAGGTTTCTCTATTTCCTCCACCACCAATTGGTCCTCCTGCATTACTTCCCACGCCATCGTTGCCTCCACAGCCTTTATTGATGTCCCAAAACATTGCCTCACTTTCGTCATCAATATCTACTTCCTCCCTCGCGGCAGCATATCAACAACGTCCTTTACCAAATGAAGTTTCTGGCACACCCATTGTAAGGCTTCTGACTGTCCCACTCCCTTCACTGTTATTAGAGTAGGATTACATATTAACTCTTATTTTTTACAGGGGAATCAACTCGCTCAAATGACAACGAATACTCCTCATATTGATGCTTCTGTCAAAACTGAAATATTTTCGCAGCAAACACCCTGCTTTACTCCAGCTGGAGTCGGCACTGTACGAGAACACACTGGATATAATTTGTCAATGACCTTAGAATATGGACGCAGTGGCACTTATACGGAAATGGATCCCCAAGTCTTTGCACAAAGGCCTCCGCTTCTGAATCACCCACCCAATCATATATCATATCCAAAAACCTCAGTCCAGCAACAACACCCATACCCCCCCTACTCATTGCAAAACAATTCTGATGGGCTGAGGCAATATGCTGCTGATGAACAATGGCGGGCACAACCAAATGAGTTTAATACTGATCATCCACACAGTTTATGGATGGCAGGAGGGATATCTTGTTCAGCTTCACCCTTTGCACAAGAAGGTGTGCATTTTTCTTTTATGATTACAATGAGCGTGACAAGTAGTCAATCATATAGAATCACATAATTATTATAACTAGTATTCTATCTGTTGTAATATCTTTCATAATGACTCTTTATGTTCAAATGGCATAATATAAAATAGTCACACATTTAATTAGCTGCATGCATCTATAAAGAGTTTTTTTTTCCTTCCCCCTTCAGTCGCATGTATATATTGACTTCATTATGGAAAGTAACTCCTCGACATAATCTACCACCTGAGGGTGGTGGAGACATTTACTTTGCAAATTTATAATATTGACTTAATCCAGACTTAGTCCGCGATCTTATTCGTTACTTTTGGTCAAAATTTTTGACCAATTATGTCTGAAATGTCTAATCTCAGCCTCCACGCTCAGAACATCAAATGAGAGGTAGCTATTACTACTTTTAGGCTTTCCTTTAAGATCGTTCTTCATATACATAGTATCCTCAGCTGAAGTAGCCTAAATTTATGGGTTACTTACACCTTACCAAGGATGACTTCGGTAACGAATGTCTTACACCTTATTGTTATTTTTATTCTGAGGTTAAATTAAATTTCAGAAACTATTCCCTCTAATTGTCTTGAACCAGTTAAATTTTCTACAAAGGAAATGTTTCAATTTCATGCACGGGGGACTTCGATACCTGATCTATTAATAAGAATTTCAAATACATGATTAATGATGACAAAATGAAAACTTGTAAATAATAAAACAAGTTCTATCGGATAGAATTTATATGCAAGCATTTGGAAATTTGAACTGCACAATACAAATAAGATGGTCATAACAAAATATTGAACGTGTATCCCAAATATATTTTATTTCAAGAAACTTGTTGCTCTCTCTCTTTTTTGGGGAGTATAAAATCAGTACTATAATACTCTCTAGCCTCTCCACTAGGTATAGAAATTCTTTGAAGCAAAGAGCTTTGTATATTTGGTTTCTCCCCCCTTCAACTTCAATTTTTAAGGTATTGTGACGTCGACCCAAGCTTGCAGTGAAAGGTATCATCAGCCATGATTTTCTTGTCTTCAGGATGAGCTAAAAGATGAATCTTTGCCTTGACTACTTGTGCATTAAGTACATAGTTTGTATCTCATTCCCCCCTTTCTCGTAGAAGTCCCCTTTCAGATGGAGTTTATTTTATTTTTTTCATGCAAAAAGATGGCAGTTCCCATGGTATTTCAGTTACCCAAATTGTTTTTAACATATGAATAACCTCCTCTATGCCTTCAACGAGACAGTAAATTTGGACACAAATGATCATGAACCAGTAAAGCTGTTTACTTCCCATCTCGGTTATGGTTGATGTTGTAGAAATATATTTTAATGTAATTAAGGTAAATAATGTTAAGAATCTTTACTTACCATCTCGGTTGTGGTTGATGTTGCTGAAATATATTTTGATGCAATTTAGGTAAATAAGAATGGACAATTGTTGTTGTATATGAAATATCTGATACTTCATGAGTTTGAGGAAAGGATACACAAAGATGCAAATGTGGATGGTATCTATAAATCCAAATGTTTTGCTAACTTTTTTATATATCCTTGGGCCTTTTGAAATAGTTGTGATCTTTTTTTAACTTGTGCTTTTCTACTATCACTTACTAGAAGAGGTGGGTTCTAAATTGGAATGTAAATATATTGATAAAAGACCCGCTATTGATATGCTTAGTTATAGATGAAAAATATACACTTGAATAACTCTCAATTGTTTGAACTAGTATGTAGATCTATCATCTACTCAAAGTTCCTACACTGTCATAATTTTATAATGTAATTACAGTCATTTTTCAAATTTTTATTGATATGGCCTAATGTTCGTAAGTTTTCATCTTATAGTAGGTAGTTTTAAGGGTACCATGCATGGGGCTTCAATTCTACTGTATTCCTGAAGATAGTCTTGCGTTTTTACATTTCTTGTGCAATACAGAGCATAATTTCAAAATGCTGGTTCTGGATTGGTTATTCGGCTTTGAAGCTCATGGGGGTTTGTAAGTGGGTCCTGGTGGAATTTTTTCCCCACTTAAGTTTACTTACCAAGGCATGAAATGATGCACTGCCTTTTGAAAAGAGTACTAGAAGATGTCATAAAAATTATTTAAAAGAGTATGAAAAGTAAATATGTTTTGGCTGCTTGAGACTCAGAAAAAATATTTCTTGATTCACTGAATCTTGGATACATGTTCTCTGTGCATTCTGATGCTAGCAGTTACTAGATTTTCAGTGACTGCATGTCCATGTACAGTTCTAATGAACTTACCTGTGGCAGGTATTTCTGGATTCCCTTTGGAAAGGCCTCCTATGAGTACAGTTGGTTTTCACATCTCTGCCCCTCCCCCTCCCCCTCCCCGCGCGCCAAATGCACTGCCAATTGCCAATCCTATCCCAGGTATCTTTTTGTGAACATGCTCCGTTTAATATCCCATGGATTCCTTTGCTATTAGAACTGCAGTTTATAGTAGGAGTAACTTTGTGCTTGTATTTTTCAACAGGTCATACTTTTCCACAGATGATGCCTTGGAGACCAGAAATGTCCACCCTCAACTGGAGGCCAGCGTAGAATTAGTTTAAAGCCTATTGTTTTTTGGTGAGTTTTCTAACTTCGCCTCTTTGCGAGGCATGGACATGTTCTGAAATCATCTTGTTTTCATAGAAGCCTGGACAGTCCTCGGACAAAGGGCCATGTGTCCAACGGTCCTGCACATGCCATGTATCTTGTTCTATTTTTTATATAATTTTTCAAAATTTTGACATGCTAGGGACACCTTCCTGACATGCTCAATTGTGATATATGTTAATCAGTATTATTTGCAAATTTTGATAGAAGAATATTTTATTTCCTTTTAATGGTACAAAGTACAAGGATAAACATTCATATAAAAATGATTTAATTAGCAAAATCTGATATCAAAGCTGAAAAGAATATCAATTTTATAGAGAAATGATTGTATAATAATGAAAATGACATATTTAAATGTATAATTTCAAGAGATATGGTGTATCCCTATGTGTCCATGTCCTTCATTGGAAAGGTCAGGTCCATTAACGCGTGTTTATGTTGTGTAATGTGTACATAATTGTGCTTCATAGATTTAGATGAGTTACCGTGTCTCTGTGGACTTACCTGTTATCATTTGCTATGCTCTATTTCTGATGATCTCTTTGAACCATATTCTTAAAATGTATATGAGATTCTTAGGCTGGGTTTTATTTTGAGGTCACATTAGGATGACATGTCCTTGCAAAGTAAAATTACGTTGGAAAAAATTTCGTGGAGGTCACTCAATTACATGTTTGTTTCATTCTGGTCACACAAGTTACAAGTTAATTTCAATTTCATCATCTCACATTTTTGTTTCAGTTAAGCAGTAGCTGGCTAAAACTTGCACCTAGTATCATGTAACTAATAGATTGCATGACCTGGTGCTTGTTTGACGTTAAGTAGTTAATTTTTTTGCTACTAAGGATAATTTTGAGGAGTGGATTAAGATTTTGATCCAGTTCATTTTCTTTGCTAAATTAACTGTTGATTTAGCCTCAAAGAAATGCCAAGTCACTCATTCTGCCAACCTGTGGGATTGGCTGTTGGTTTTGATCATTGTTACAAACTGAATGGTCAAACTGAAATAATTGAAACAAATTGAAGTTTGGTGACCAACATGTAACAGACCTGTAAGTTGGTTGATCTTGAGTGAGATCTTCCCAACTATGTGCTACGTTGCTACTTATATCCCAGTCTACATTAATTTTATAAAACTGTGCATTCTTTCTTCACATGATTGTTGGCATAGGAATACCTATTTAACAGCCACTCCCCTAAATCAAACTTTTTTGTTATTATTTGATGGATTATGTTTTTCTTTTCTCTACTATGTTCAGGTTATAGGAGGCAGGTCAAGTAGGATTTGCATTAATAATGCTCCAACTGAATTTTGGAATTAGCACCAAAAAGGAATTGTTAAGTGGAGACCCTTTGGCAGGACTCTGTATATTAGAATTTTTCCTGACAAATGCACCCGACAGACATGTAAGTTTAAGCCCTTTTTCCCCCCATTACACCAATACTTGTATTATGACTGATATATATCAAAAATGGTTTTGTTGGAGGTACACTTTACAAGTCATGCTGATAGTTTTTCTATCCACCTTACCTCTTTTTGTTCATATGAGTTAATCTGGTATGTACATTGACGTGTACAAGTAAATAACATTTTCTTACCATAGTAATTAATATTCTTTTTATGACTGTCGTTTTTCCTTCTATCAAGGAGGTACATGGAGTAAATTCTAACAAATCTTGCCTATCCTCTTCTTGATGTTTGTTCAACAATTTCTACATGTATTTTTAGACATCACTTGACCTATCTGGTTGGCCATTGGTTGCATGGATAAGTTTTTTATGCACAAGATGCTTATGCACCTGTGTTGAAGTTGCATGCGTGTCTCTAGTTTCAGAAAACCAGGACCTGTATTTCAATTCAAAATGCTCTTCTTCTATGGCATTAATGTGGAGCAAGATTTAAGCTGGAAATAATACACAATCTCTGTTATTCTTTGTTCAGACTTTGTTAAGCTTGGGAATACGTTTATCTGCTAATATGATGACCGGTCAATTGAGTATTCATGATAAGCTTCTACACGCATGCACGCACAAACTAAATTTTTGGTATTCATGTACTTTTGCTGTGCCTTAGGTAATTTACTAGAGTTGTCGAAAACGGTTCTTGAGGGAGTTAGAGACGAGGTTCAAACAGAGATGGAGCGTGGGTAAAAATTTGAGTGATTTAGATTTGTGTTAAATATTAATTTAGATGGGTAAATTTGGTTTGAAGGAGAGACGTCTGAGGTACATTGTTAATCCCAAATGCTTCCTCACTATAACCCTAATCAAATACGAACTTAATGGCTTATATATAATAATATCTGAAGTAATGGACTAGTAAACATCAAATTCCAAAGCTGAGTGATTATTGGAAATACATTGGTGTGGTGATGTTGAAATAGATCGGTCCATGGGGATCAAGCATTTTAAGGCTTATTGTTGCAAAATGGAGCCAACCGGAGATTGGGCAATACAGGTTTAGTGTTGGGGTGATCAAGTGAGAGATCTTATTGCTTTCTTGGATTTTATGGCAATTGTACCAACCTCGAAGCAGAATTCTTGCCTATTTTAGTCTTTTCTTCTTATACACATTGAATCGGATGCAATGGTGATTATTCAGATTATTGAGCATGGGGCTGATCTTGGACGGAGGGTGCAAATACTTATTTAGATTTATAACTCGGTATCACTCTCTTACATGAGCGTAATGAGGCAGCAGATTTGCTTGCTATCAATTATGCAGGCAGTATGAGGAGTTTCTTGTGCGAGATCTTTCAACAAAACCAAGAAATGCTCTACATTCGAGGACGAGCTTGATAACTGAAGATTTAATTAGGTAATTATGAATGAATCACATGCTTACAATATTTCTTTTCAAATATATCTTTTTAATGTAATCTTTGGAGCCCCTCTCATATGTACTTTGATTTCATATAAAATATGGTAAGTTTGGTCTGGGTAGATACCTGAAAATTTCGTGGTTCGATTTAAAAAACAGTTAGATTGGTCTATGGCTTTATAGAAATACAGTTTATGATATTAATGAAGAAAATACTAGCAGGATTTGCACGTTAATATTTAGAATATAGTGCTTCAAAGACGAATGGTTTATGGAAAAATGACAGATACAAATTAAAGAGAAACTCGGAACTGGAAATACCGAAGGGGGGAACAGATAAAAAAGAAACTTCCTTTTCGATGGTCATGTTACTGTAAAACAATGGGTGCATTTTTCTAGTTTATGATACAAATGACAGTCTTGAGAAAGGACAAAAATTACTATGTTCTTGTTTTGTTTATCGAACGGTACTAAAGAAGAAAGATTGCATATAAATGAGGGTTTTTCCAGTTTACATGACAAGAATGGTAGTTCTGAGAAATGACAAAAATTACGATATTTATGCTTTGTTTCTCTAACGGTACTGAAGAAAAAATAGTGCATCTAAATTAGGGTTTTCTAAAGTAGTCTGTGACTCTGAGGAAGGACTGAAATAACAATATGCATGCTCTGTTTCGTAAAGTAATGTTTACAATATCAAATAAAATATTAAAAAGGAAATTATAAAAATTTTCATGTATGTAATATTACGTAATAAATATATGCATGGAAGAAATAACACAAAATAATCTATTATAGTACTATACAATGTTAGGTAATAAATGTATTAGTGGAAAATTAAATCTATTGAGTGTGTGGTTAAGTCAACTTTGTCAATTTCAAAAGTTAGGTATTTTTTCATTAATTTCTGTATCTTTTTTCGGCGTTGTATGAAGATTAGTCAACTACCTTTTTTTTTTTAGTTTCATTTTTGTACTGAAGGTCAAAAACTTTAATGTGGGCAAATTTTTTGCTTGAATTCTCTCTTTCTAACGACCAAACTGAAATATTTATATCTTTAACTTTTATTTTTGTTGATCATACGTTCTAATTTATCTTCGTTGTGTCATATTTTCCTCGTCACCTACCGTTCACCCCTTCGTATCCCAGCCCGGTAAAATTTGTACACCCCCTTCATCTATCCTATAGTTGAGTTCAAGTACGTGATGATTTGAGATCCTTGAACTAAAAAATTGACATAAGTAAACTAGAAGTGTCGGTCACAAGTTGAAAAAAGTGTTGGCCACTGTGAGTCGATGACATGTCCCTTCCTCTGTGAACATATTTTGATATTTGGTCAATGCACATTGCTCATGGACAACCCATATTGACAATGCGCTTGAATGGAAGCACACATGGCATTGAATCATGTTACAAGTGTGTTGTTCCCCTTAAGAAGCGATGTGCCTTGCAAGGTATTGCCAAAAGGGTGATGCTACACGTACATCAGAGTGTTCATAACGATATTCATCATTTCACATGAAGGGGGGGTCACTTCTAATAAAATATAGTTTATCCGAAGTGGGTTCTCTTCTATGTGAATTGGTGAATATCGTTATGGACATCATATTATGTACAATTAATATATTCCTTGCTAGAAATTGTAACTTCCTACCGAGGAATTGGCCGCTTGACATCATAGTTTACACTGTCAATTGACCAAATGTTATGTGCTAACAGTATTATTTTTTTAGCGAACGTATAGTGCACAGAACTCATGTTGGCTAGCAATTGACAATTCCTAAAGCGAGTATTTAAAAGGTACACGTGGCTATCTAATTACCTTTTAATCATGTTATACTTTTTAGAAACTCAACACTGTGTAAACAATCGTCAATTTCTTACTTTTTTTTTGGTTGTCGGTATGTTGTTTGGTGGGTGCTAATTGCACATGTCCCTATTGATATGTCCTAGAGGATTGACAATGACTAGATTGTGGTGCTTGCTTCTTGTGTCTTTGGCATGTACTGTGAACTGTGAAGAGGGGAAGCTGAAGAGATGCTTTGGGGGTTGAAACTACACCCTTCAAGAATAGAAGGTGTATATTTGTAATATTAATTCAAAACAAAGTTATTTATTTGGGAAAAACAACAGATAGTCTCCATCCGATTGACGACTTCACTTGAGAAAATTTATTATTTATTATTTATTTATTTATTTTGTGTTAGAAAGATAACTTTTAACTCATTTCTAATAAAAAATAAAAAGGGCACAAAAAACGAAACTCACCCCTAGATAGATTTAGTTTTTTATCTTTTCTTTTAGTATTTTTGTTTCTATTCCTCCTCTTATTATTATTATTAATTAATGAAAGAATAAGGGGTTTTAGAAAATCATTTAGAAGGGCCATAAAAATATATTATATAAAGAAAAATAACACAAAGTTTTACTTAAAAATTGGAGAAAAATCATGGACCTTAAAATAAATTTATCATGTGAAATATTTGTACAATTGCATAGTAATTCTTTTTCACACATCAAACACTCAAGTACAACCAAGAACCTATATACTAAAAAAAAAAAAAAATCACTCAGTACATATGAGATGAGATTACAAAGGATTTTAAGTTTCGCTCCCAAGATAATCCATAACTTATTTCACAAATTTGGATAAGGGAGATTCTATTTATACAAACACGAGAGAAGAAGATTTCATATTCGGTGCACGTTTGATGTAAATTTGGTGAAAAAATGATTATTTTTAGAGAATATATAATTAAAAAGTAGAGAAAAGTTGTGTTCACGGGCAAAATTATTTTACGATTGAAAATGATTTTGAGAAAAATAAGTTTTAGAAAATCTAAACCAAATGAAGGTTCGAATAAACGATCTTATTACGTCTATCAAACTAGATATCATCTTCTATGTGGAGTAGATAAGTATGAGTTTTAATTTACTTAGATAATAGTAATACCAAGTCAATTTCAATAAAAATCTGAGTTTACCCTTTTATTTTTTTTATATATATCAAAGATGTGGGTAAAATTATCCATTGGGGACTCAAGTGCAACAAAAAGAAAAAGTAGAGAATTTCAAACGATAAAATAATAGGTTGAGAACCTACTTTCTTTATTTCCAATAGATTGAGGACTCTAATGATAATTTCCCTTTTTATTTTATCTTTCCAACTTTGTCGTCCTCACGAATTTGCTCGTTGTTAAACGACAAAATAGAAAATGCGGTAAGAGAGAAAATAAATAAGCTGCAATAGCCAAAAAAAGATCGGCTGTCGGCTCTCTCCCTACTCAGATCTGCCACATCTTTTACGATTTTCATCTGTTTTTTAATTTATCAATTAATTAGTTAATCAATTAACTTGTTTATGATTATGATACATGTAAATATGAGCATGTATGCATTCAAATTGCGTTAGTTTTCTTGATCTTTTTTGTGGGCATAGGGAATTTTAGAGCATCAGATGGAAAAAGAGAGAAGAGTTAACGGTGGAGGAGATTTTTATCAGGTACATTGGTCCACAGAAGTGCCCACATCTTCCGCTTCATCAGCATCATCATCACCACCGTCGAGGTCACTTCCAGCTTCATCTGAATCGTCGACCTCTATCGGTGTAGGTGTTAACGGTGGCCCGAATTACATAGTTCACCCTGTCTCCAAGTTTGATACCCTCGCAGGTGTTGCCATCAAATACGGCGTCGAGGTACATAATTCATATAATTTTTTATTGGTATCAAATTAATTTTTTTCCGGTTTTAATCAGTTGTTACCGATTTGTTCTATTTACTTTTCTGTTATTTGTCCGTTTCATATATTTGTCGTTATAATGGGATTGATACTTGTTCTGATTGTTCTTAGTATGTTATAGCAATGCCCATTAACCAAGATGTTGGATAACATTGGCCTGTTCTTAGTTCTGCAATACTCTGTGTTTTAGGCGAATATATTTAAAACGACTCTCTTTTTTATCAAATTAAAAGATCCCTAAAATTGTAGCCATCCCACTTTCCGCTCCTAAAATGAAAAAAACAAAACTTGCACTAAATGGCTTCCTGTTTCTCACTCTAGTGAATATCATGCCACACCACACCGCGTAATGCCTACTTTTAGGTCACTGCTCGCCTCTTATTGCGGGACTTTGACCACATAGTTCCCCTTTTTATTGATCTTTGCTCTTCAAGTAAAGTGGAGATGAAAGACTCGTTTTAAATTTTAAAGGGTTCTGAAGCTTCTCAACATAGAGCTAGTCTAAAGGCTCCCAGCATAATGCGAAGGAAGGTCAATTCTGTATTGTGGAGAATTGACTTTGAAGAAATGATCTTACTAGTTGAGCAGATTGGGATCTACTTGGGCAATTTGCCAATTCTACTGTAAAATCTAGCATCTAAGAAATGAACTTGAATGCATTTGAAAGCTCAAACTCAAACAATCTTGATCGGGGTCAATTTCTGTATTTTGGTATATTTACCTCGATCCCAGTTGAATGGTCTCATATGTGGTAGAGTTGGACATTTTGGTAGAATATCTCAACTTGGCCCCATTCAAGTGGGAGACTACTTGACAGGGATTGAATTTGCCACCCTTAGATAAAAATCCGATACTACAACTATGGGATTGCAATAACTGAAATGCTTAATATAGCGCTCGCATATCCAGACTTTTGTGCGTAAAACAAAACTTCCCAGCACTCTGAGTCAATGAAGAACTGCCTCAATGGACCTAGTATCCTTTTATATGTTCTTTTCAGTTTATGATTGTTAAAGATATTCTATATGGCATTTGGGGGGTTATTAAGATGCTGATTAGCAGCACAAGGCTCTTTCCTGCATAAACTAAAATTGGCCTTCTTTCACCTTACCAATTCTCAGAGGTGTTTTTATTTAAATTCCTCATGCCTTTTATTTGGCCTTTTGGGTACGAGTTTGATCAAACAATTTTGAAAATTATCAAGGTACAATCGGCAAAGTAGGCATGTGATTGATTTCTCGAATCTCTTGCTTCAAAGATTGTACAATGCTCCTCCTGTAACTACTCATTACTGATCCTGTTAAAAATGAACCCATTCTATTGGTTTTTCCTTTTGTGGTTAAATTTTGGATGAAAGATTTACTGATCTAACTATGCATTTGTTTTGGGGATGGGCTAGGTGGCAGATATAAAGAGGATGAATGGGTTGGTAACAGACCTCCAAATGTTTGCTCTGAAGACGATTCATATACCATTGCCAGGGAGGCATCCCCCTTCACCTGGCTTGTCCAATGGTCTTGACACTCCTCAACGGTATTTCTGTCTTAAATATGATTTGTCTTATTTCCTCTGCATTTTCTATTTTGATATTCTAAGTGGCTTATAGGATATTGTGAACAATTCTCATGCAAACTGATACAGTCTGCGGCCACTTTAGTTAAGTAGGGACCATAATATTTTTTATTCTCTATCTGTCATTAAAATGCACTACCACATTAGTAAGAAAAACTTATCTCAGTGAGAATAGTATTTTATTATATATCAGTGCAGGAAATACTTGAGAAAAGAAGAAGCCAGTCAGCTGATAACAGTTTCTTTCATTTTCTTGGAATGCTATGAATAGCAACTGAATTTTGTAATTTCCATTTTAAATGGTTTTTGTTTATCATGGAGAGTCGTCTTTAAAGTTCCTAACCTCCTTTTGAAATTCATATTTTGTTTGTTCTCTTTTATCTTCTCCTCCATTTTAGCGCCTATATCAGCAGCTCATTCCAATGATTTTCTAGCTCTCTTTTCTGTCATCGAGCTGAGGTGATATTATTGTGGTTCTTTTCAGAAATCGAAAAAAAATTGGAAATTGCTGAGCAGGAAGGGGCGCTGACTTTAAGGAAAACATTTCCAAATTCTAGTTGATTTAAGGAGCACTCACAGAACATAAAACTAAATAAACAATTTCCATTTTACCAGACTACTGTGGTCACACAGGGTCTGCCACCCCTGGATCTGTGCCTTGTTTTTTTACCTTTTTTTTTTTTTTTTTTTTTATCGGTATAATACTTAAAATTGAGCTTTCTAACTTCTCATTACAGTGCGTGGCTATCTGCCAGCTATTGATTCTCAATCCTTACATGGAAGCCTGAGAGAATGATACTAACAGAGACTATCAAGTGTCAAGATCTGAGTATAGCTTAGATTACTCTGATTGGGAGAATTAATAATTCAAAAAGATGTGATAATATTTTTATTGGATTTAAATATATCCCGTATAAAGTATACAGGTCAATAGAGTTAATTGAACTGCCATTAATTTGATATGTGCTTTTTACTATTTTTGTTGAGCTGACTTGCTGTTTATATTAATGGGGAGTACTAAACTTGAGCAACATATGCTCCTTGATGGTTAACATGATGGAGCTCTCAATCATGGATCATTCATGCTGACTATTGTATTATTTTGCACCAAATAGGACCAATAATTTATTCTTATATAGTATTCCTCTTCTTCAACATAGGGTTTTCCTTTTTGTTTTTGAGTCCCACAAAATATGAAGCTTTTATTGCAACAAGTGGCTGAGGATATTGGTGTAGCGAACTGAAGTCTTGAAGAAGACAAGTCAGTAATTGGGCTCGATAAGTTCAAGGTCATTGCTTCATAATTATAATGATGAAACTGACTCTTTAGGGCAAATATGACCACAAATCCAGAAACTAGGGAAGCAACATTGCATTGAACCCTCAAACTTAGGAGTATACACTCCTACATTCACTATCTCTTTACTATTTTTTAGTTTAGAACTATGTGAGTTAATAGTTCCGCAGTACTTTGACGTTGAAGCCATGTCGTGGTGGCATGTGATTGGTTGTCTCTTACTCGTCTATATATTTTTTCATTTTATTTTCTGGTTTTGGGTTGAGTTTACCATTATATATTTCAGAACTACTTGTCTACTTAAATTTTCATTTTATTTTCTGGTTTTGAGTTAAGGTCAGGAGGGGGTCTAGGGAATTGATTGACAGTCACTTATTCTGGTTTTGTTAAGATTGTTGTTCTTATGACATTTTTGAGACTGTATTCCAAGCAATTGTGTTTTTATGCAGATTCCAATTATGATGGGTTCCAATTTCCTAGATTGTCTTTCATCATATACATTTTAACGAGAAATAAACATGAGTTCCTATAGGCACTTTTTAAGTTGAAACTCTGGTGTCAGTCAGATTTTCAACCCCCTCCTCCTGCCAAAAAGAAGAAAGAAAAGTAGAAAATGATAGAAGTTAAATAATGAGGTATAGGCACTTTTTTAGTTGAAACTCTGGTGTCAGTCAGATTTGCAGCCCCCTCCTCTTGCCAAGAAGAAGAAAGAAAAGAAGAAAATGATAGAAGTTAAATAATGAGGTTACAGAACAACTTATTAATTAATTTCCTCTTGCAGATCAAGCAGCTCTGAGCAGACTCCATCCTCTCGCCGGCACTCTGACTTGTTTGATTCACTTCAGTCACTGAAAATGAAATCTTCTTCAGGACAGAAGGTTTCTCCAGCCATGAGCAGCCTTCAAGGTTTTTATGGTCTTAAACCAGCAGGTCAGAAAGCTGCACCAGATGGTTTTGAAATGGCTGTGTACAGAAATGGAGCTCATTATCTAGAGGAGGGGCCTTTTGGAAAATCTTCACTTATGTCTAACCCACTGCTTAGTCATCATAGAAAATCAAAAAGTGTAGCTAGTGACTTGACGTCAAATAATGGTAATTTGATCAATCAGGCATTTTCGCAAGAAACTGAAGATAGTATCTCGAGTAAATGGATTAAGAAATTGACCAGAATGCTTCCAAAATATGATGCCAACTTGACTTCTTGCACCCCAGAAAAGCTGTTGGAGGATAACAGCAATAGTGGTGGTTTTTCAGCGATTACGGGCAAAAGCTTGGCTCTCAGAGCCAAATCTGCTACTGCTAGCCGAGTCTCAGGACTTGATTCTCAGGCAGGTGGGCCTAACCCAATTCCTTTAAGTTTTGGGGATTCTTTTCACGACAGTTTCGCTGCAGTAAGGAAGTCATCAAGTACATCAAGTTTGCAGGATTCAGATAATTGTGCATCTTCATCTGTAAGGCCAGTCCCAAAGTGGAGTTTGAAGCCAGATTTTCATGCCCTTTCTACTTCTGCCCTTCCTAAACCAATGGGTCGAAGAAACAAGGCGGCACTTGATTAATAAAAATTCTTTAACCTATCCGGTTTAGCACTTTCTTTTTCAAATTTTTTATTTAAGCATTCATCGGTCAATGGGAGATAGAAGTGGAAACAGGGAAATTAGAGCAAGTAAATTAATATATTTGGATGACATTGCATCCGAATTTTGGTCAGAATGATAATATTCATGGGGAGTGGAATCTTGATAGGAATGTATATTAGATACTTTCATATGTTCATTGGAGAAAGGGAGGGGGTGGAGGATCATTTTGTTTATATCTGTAGTTTTACATGTTTTTACGTTTATATTTGAGTATCAGCCATTGTGGTTCTCCTTTCATGTTGGAGACAGGATACCATTTTTCGATGTTGATTTATAAGATTATCTTGCAACTGTATATTGATGTGTGTGCATACTGCTTAGTGTTTGCCTTCTCAAAGCTATGACAGTTTGATCATTCAGTATAAATAAAGTGCTGCAGAAGAAGCAGGTGCTTGAAAGCCTTTGGCAAGAGAACTAATCCATGTTTCTCTATCTCTTTACTTCTTATTATATTTAATCGGTAGTGTATGGAGTGGAATCAAGTTCTCATATGTCGTATTTGTGTTTTAGACACCGAATTCACACTTACCGTATTTGGCAATTGCTTACCGTATTTGACAGTGCAACTCACCGTATTTGGCTATTTGCAACTCACCGTATTTGATAGTGCAACTCACCGTATTAGACAGTGAATTAAATACGTAATTTTCACAACTATTTGTTTTCATACAATGACTTTAGATGACATAGAATTTGGTGTTTGTTTTCATATAATTTGCATAAACATAATTTCGAAATAAATTTAGATAAATTTTTTCTTAATTTTATTTTTCACAAATTACTTAGATACAGACTATTATCTAAATCACTACTTGAATAAGAATGATAGATTATATTAATATAAAAGCAATATAAATTTTAGAAAGTTAAATAAAATCTGAAAGCGTATAAATTTGCAAATAATTAAAGCACAGATACTCAAATTGGAAGCATATATATTTGGAAATAAACTTTTAACCCCGAGGCCTGTGTAAACACAGTTTTCTTAAGACAAATTCGCCCCCTCATCGTGGTACTAGATGTTTAGTTCGATCGCCTGTCTCCCAAGATACAACGGTAACCAGCAAAATTCGAGCACCACGGTTCTACTTCGGCGAACTGGACGAGTGTTCGAACAATATCACTTTACTGGAATGAGACGGAACAAAACAGAAAACAAAACTGAATCTGTGTATAAACTGCTGAAAATTGCAGACGAAAATTTCAGTGTATGAACTACTGGAAATTGAGTGAAATTATATAGGCTGAATCTGACCATTAATTTCTGCATTAACCATTGTAGTTTTTGGAGTTACACTTCGATTTCGACCATTGGAGTTTTAGGAGTTTCAAACACTCAAAAGTTATTTGAAAAAACCACAAAAAAAAAAAATTTGCAAAATGCGGACAATCCAAACTGGCCAGTTTTTGCTCTGTTCGGTTCGACATTTGTGTGCGCAGGTCGCGCCCGCACCAAAGTTCCCCGCACTAAAGTTCAAGGTCCGAAGGCTATTTCTGTCCGTGATTTGCACCTCCTGCGCGCACTCGTGGAGAGAGTCTCTATGCTACACATGATCACACTATTCCAATGCATAGCCATATATAAAGTGGTTTTGGTTTCCATGTTTTTCCTATGTGGGACAAAGTTAACTATAGTTTTTCCACCAACATAGACCATTTCCAATGGTCCACTTTAAACTCCAATTTCTCATTCACTTGAGCTTTATTTTTGGCAAATAAATACATGACTTCGATGTTCTCGTGGAGGAGAACACATCAACTTTGATATTTCAAATTGGGCCAACGGGTCCCACCGAAAATTGTGTCAAAAGTGAGCTGTTCACTCATTTTTCCAACAATCCTCCACATGAATGAAAATTGAGAGAGACACGAAACGTGAGACATGAGATTTGGTGATAAAGTTCAACGGTTGAAGCCTGTATAGGATAGGTAGGTGTTACCCTTTGAATCTTCCCTTGTGAAAGCATATTTACTTTACTGGCTGACCAATAGACGCGATGTCTTTGAACTGTTCTGCCGATTGTGCAAACGATGATATACTTCACACAGGATTCTTCCTAACACCCTTCAGTTCTCATTATTGTGTTCGTTTTGGCCATGAATATATGCTTGGTTTGTGAGAGTTTCTAAGAATTGAACCCCACACAATTCCCTTAGAAGCGACCCCACTTCTTTCTCACATAGGTGATTTCTTATTACAAGTAACCCGCATTATTTGGCTCGATTTTCGACGCATAAGAATCATTGAAAGCCTATTGCTTAACTTTCATCCTTACGAGCATCACTGTTATATCATAGGAATGGACAGGAGGTGGTACCCCTACAGTGATTTTATCAAGTCTTTACAGTTAGGTTGTCCCTTTGAACCTAGATCTTGGGATCTCCAGTCGACTAGGTTGGGTTTCCTTTGTAATGACTTATTCTTATAAGGGCTTGAGTTTCATTCCTTTCGATGATTTTCCAACTAACTCTCTATTTAATCCTTTGATTAGCGGATTCACAATGTTATCTTTTGACCTAACATAGTCAATTGTGAAAACTCCAGTTGAGAGTAGTTGTCTAATAGTATTGTATCTACGACGTATATGTCTAGACTTACCATTGTACATGTTACTCTGTGCCCTTCCTATTGCTGATTGACTGTCACAATATATGCAAATTGTAGGCACAGGTTTGGACCATCTTGGAATATCCTCTAAGAAGTTGCGCAACCATTCGACCTCTTCACCACATTTATCTAGGGCTATAAACTCAGATTCCATCGTAGGTCTGACTATAACCGTTTGCTTAGAGGATTTCCACGAGATGGCAGCACCTCCCAAAGTGAACACATATCCACTGGTGGATTTTGAGTATTTTATATTAGATATCCAATTAGCATCACTGTATCCTTCAATGACCGTTGGATGTCTAGTGTAGTGTATTCCATAGTCACGAGTATATCTTAAATACCTCAGTGCTCTTACTATACCTTTCTAGTGATCACTTCCTGGATTACTCGTATATCTATTCAATTTACTGACTGTGTAGGCTATGTCTGGTCTTGTACAACTCATTAAGTACATTAGACTTCCAATAACCCTCGAGTATTCTACTTGAAAAACGCTTTCACTCTTATTTTTGGATAGATGTTGACTTGTATCTATTGGTGTTCTAGCAAAGCCAGTATCATCCTTACTGAATTTTTTCAAAATTTTGTCCACATAATGTGACTGGTTTAGAACAAGCCCATCTGATATTCTTGAGATTTTGACTTTAGGTATAACATCAGCTAAACCCATGTCTTTCATATCAAATCTCGAATTTAATATATTTTTAGTGGATTCAATCATCTTATTGTTACTACCAACAATAAGCATGTGGTCAACTTAAAGATATAAAATGACATAGTCATCTTTAGTGTCTTTGCGTAAACACATTTGTCACATTCATTAATTTTAAATCCACTATTTATCATGACATTGTCAAATTTTTATGCCATTGTTTGGGTTCTTGTTTCAAGCCAGATAGTGTCTTCACCAGTTTACAGACTCTCTTTTCCTGTCCTGGTGACGAAAACCCCTCAAGTTGTTCCATGTAAATTTTTTCTTCTAACTCTCTATTTAGAAAAGCAGTTTTAGCATCCATTTGATGTACTTCTAGATTTCGCAAAGCAGTAATCGCAAATATCACCCTAATAAATGTTATTTTCGTCACTGGAGAATACGTATCAAAGTAATCAAGGCCCTCCCTTTGTTTGTAACCTTTTATTACTAATCTGGCCTTGTACTTTTCGATAGTTCCATCTGCTTTTATTTTTCTTTTGAAAATTCATTTGTAGCCTAGTGGTTTGCATCCAGGAGAAAGATCCACTAGCTCCCATGTATGATTTTGCAATATGAAATCTATTTCACCTTTAATGACATCTTTTCATTGAGGTCCTTCCGAGGAATTCACAGCTTCTTGATAACTTTGAGGTTCGTTTTCTAGCATATAGGTTAGAAAATCAGAACCATAAGACTTTTCTGTTCTTTCCCGTTTGCTGCGTCTAACCTTAGTCTTCTCTTCTAATTCTTCGTCCTGACTATTTTCAGTTATTGTCTCATATATTCGTTTAGAGGAGTTGGCTTTCTCTTTGGACCTGTATGGAAATACTTCTTCAAAGAATGAAGCATTCCTCGATTTCATTATCGTGTTTTTGTGTATGTCTGAAATTTTTGAATCATACACAAGAAATCGATAAGCACTGCTATTATGTGCATAGCCAATGAAAACGCAATCTATAGTTTTCGGGCCTATCCTTACCTTCTTTGGTGTTGGAACAGCCACTTTTGCAAGACACCCCTCACACTCGCAAGTGTTTATATGTAGACTTTCTTCCTTTCTATAACTCATAAAGGGTCTTTTCCGATTTCTTTCGGGGCACCTTATTTAAAAGGTAATTTGTTGATAACACAACTTCCCCTCACATGTTCTGAGGTAATCCAGAACTTACTAGCATTGCATTCATCATTTCTTTTAAGGTACGATTTTTTCATTCAACTACACCGTTTTGTTACGGTGAATAAGGTGAGGTGATTGCATGTATAATTCCGTATTGTGCATAGAAATCGGCAAACGGTGCTCCATACTCACCACCTCGATCACTCCGTAGTACCTTAATTTTTTTATTAAGTTGAGTTTCAACTTCATTCTTATAGAGAACAAATTTCTCTATAACTTCATCCTTGCTTTTAAGCAGATACACATAGCAGTATTTTGTGTCATCGTCGACAAAAGTAATAAAATACTTATTGTCACATCTTGTTTGTACAAGTTTTAAGTCACAAACATCACTGTGAGTTAAATCAAGTGGTTCTGTGTTCCATTCAACTGACTTAAAAGATGACATTGTCATTTTTGTCTCAACACGAGTTTCACACTTATGTTCAGAATCATTATGGAACTTGGGTATACAATTCGAGTTATTTAGTCTACGTAAAGTATTATAGTTAACATGTCTTAGTTTACCATGTCACAAATTGGAAGACTCAAGCAAATAAGCCGAAAAATTTGCTTTATTCATTTTTTGTTTCACAACCATTACATTCAGCTTAAACATACAGTCGGAAACGTAACATTTTCCGACAAACATTCCACTTTTTGATAGAATGACTTTGTCTGATTCAAATACAATACGAAAACTATACTTATTCAAAAGCGACCCGGACACTAAATTCTTACGAATTTTCGAAACATATAGCATGTTGTTGAGAGTCAGCTCCTTTCCCGAGGTCATCTTTTGCTGAATTTCCCATGAACAACTTTTCCCCGTTCTC